CCTGGCCAATGCACCATCCAATTCATTACTCGGTAAAAGAGGCAATCAACTCTCATCAATTTTTTGGCTTCATAAAAATAATCAGTTTCAAACTTTCTCAGAAGTACTCTCCTAAATTTTTTCTAATATAGAGAGTGGAGGCTTCATGCCTGGGATGTTGGACCAGTCATTTATGAGGTCATTTGGCTTTTTCAAGAGGAAACATGGGGATGAGACATACATTGCCAGTCTTTTTCCTGGTTATTTTATGTATACCTTTCCATGCCAAACTCAAAGGGCGTGGACCTATTTAATCACTAACAAACTGTTCCCATTCCTGTTGCTCTAAGTTCTTCCTTTCTATTTACTTGCATTTGTTAGTGCAGCTTGGACGTTCTGAGCAGGTCTGGGGTTTCCATTCACGGTATGCTTTACCAATCCATCTAGCTGCATTGTGTGGTTAGATTGCGCAGCTGTGGATCATTATAGTATTTACATTGGTTTTTATTGTTATTTATAGTGGAGGGTTTTTGTTTCTATTCCTGCCACTTGATCTGTGAGAACACTCTCAATAGTGGTTTAAATCATCATTAAATTTTTGGTGTGCAAAATGGGCTCGTAATTCTCTATACCATTGATCCAAGTGGTTAATAAAATTGTCTCTGTGTTCTGGTTTGAGATAAGTTTCCTCCTTCTGTATTTAGCTCCTTGATTGCTGGTGATGTGATCAAGATTGACAGTGGGTTGTCTTGGGAAAGTGATCAGGATAGAAGATCATCAACTTTGACAGAGTCAATGGCATCGTATATGATGTATTTAATCCCAAGGACACAGATTTCTAGTTTGACCACCATAATATGTGAGTGGCTCAGTAGTGCCCACAATTCGAACATTATTTATTTTTTTATTTAAAAATTTGAGCACACATACAGAGGTACAAAAAATACAGATAAGAGCAGCATGCCAAGCCACTTTATACTATGTTAGCATTACGGGCTGGATTTAAAATTAACTTGATGAACTAAGCAATGATGAACATCAGTGATAAAACTTTAATGTAAACAGATTACTATAAAGCACAATGTGATGTATTACAAAGACAGGTCATATGGTTGTATGCATTGTTGTACGTTCAGAGAAATGGAGTATTCTGTTAGGTTAGTGTTTTTAAAATAATAAGTTAGATTGGGTTTTAGGTTTAACATTTATGTGATATATTTGTGAGAGACATTTAAAAGAGATACATTTATAGGTTCAGTTAAGTTATTCAAGTATTTATTTGGATTTGGGTGAGTAAGTGATCTTTGAGAAGAGACTTGAATTTAGAAACAGTAGTGTTTCTTTTATATTTACAGGTCAATGAGTTCCTGATTTAGGGCCAATTTTTATGTTGCATTGAGTTTTTGCCATAGTGTGAGATGGACACGAGGAACATCAAAGAGTGATCAGTTGCCTTATGTTATGGTTCATGTGTTTGTTGAGGTTGGCAAGAGATGTTTGAGGGGAGGGTTAATATCAGAGTTAAGTGTTCTATGTATGTAATAGGTGCAGTAATAAGTATGAATGTTTTGTATGGTGAAGTAGGTTTAGTGTATTGAATATTGGTGGAGTGTGCTTGCTGCCTATAGTGTGAATTTTGTTATCATCTAACTGCAGCCTTTTGTTGGGTAATTAGTCGTGGTTGAGTGGATACTTGTTGTTGAGCCCCTGCACAAATTCATAGGGAGATAGGGTAAATATGAGAGTGATATAGGGCCGGAGGGCTGACTGTGGAGCATAGTACCGTATCTTCGATAGGTAATGCCTACAGTCTTTTGGAATTATCTTAGAAATTTAGTTGTTTTGTGTATGAAATTTGGAGTCTATTTTCAAGGTGGATTCCTATGATATTTTCCCTCTGTTAAGGGCTTTGTGATAGGTGATCGTTTATCATGCTTCATTTAGCTATCTCACTCAGTTTAGTTCCAATTGGTGTTTGTTATAGACCACCAATATTCTTATGTCTGGCATTAAAATCTCCATAGAATGATGGGTAGGTGCACTATTGATGCGATCTGGTTAAAAGCATCAGGTCGAAGCTGGTTCGCTGGGGATAGAGATTAAAAATGTTTATGGAAAAATCAGACTGCATATACTTTGACACCATGATACTTTTGCATGTTGGTAACTAGACTCTGCAAGGAAAGGAGTGAATGTGGCTATAGCTCTTTTTCTGACATACATCACACAACAGTTGGTTGACCTTAGGTTATAAGCTGCATATCAGCAAGTTTTGGTGGAGTGCTCCATTCTTTCAATCTACATTCCTGCAAACAGATGACATCAATTATTCTTGGTTGCACTAATATGATGTATGTCTTTAAGGCAAACCGCTTCCTGATGGAAGCAATGTTCCATGAAAAGATTTGTCATGTATCCATTGTAGTGAGTTATTACAAATACTCTTGCTAATAAGATGAGTTAAAAACTATAGGCTTGACTACAGTGTGCAGATACTTAAGAGCAAATAGCATAGTTTGTACGTCTTTATCTTCAGGACCTTTATTTTTAAGCATTTTTCGGCATTTTGGCAGCCAGTGATAAGGCAATTTTTGAAGGCAAGAGTTATGGGCTTCTTTCTCACAAATTGCTGGAAGCTGAACGGAGATTGCTGCACTTTTGACATCATCACCATGCTCAAGAGCATCATCCTGATTACATATATTTATTAAACTTGTCAGGATCTGTTCAAGATGCTCAATTTTTTTTCTGGAAAGTTGTTATAATATGAGGAAGGTCAGGCGAATCCAATGCCTCTCCGGAGGATGGCACTTCTTGGTTAGTGCTTTCTTTAACACCTATCACCTTAACAGGTACCATGGTTACATTAGTGTTCTCTGTTTCATCATTCAAGACAAGACCTCCACTTTATCTCGTAGATTTCTGGCCAGTGTCTGGGGAGAATTGTGAGTGATTTTGATCTGTGGGCTTGTGTTGCAGATGGGAGTGAATGCCCAGTAAGTACCAGTGTCTCTCGTCTATGTAGAAGCTAGTGTACGTGTCTGCATAGTTGTACTAGGGGATACATCCCTCTTGGATACAGGAATTTCTGAGGTGCAGGCAGGTCACTAATAATGATTGAATATTGCAGGAATTAAGGCTCCCGGTTGCACGTGGTTTCTGAGGGGAAGTCCAAAGGGGCTAAGGCTAAGCTTAGGGAAGTTGAAGATCAGGATATATGCTGCAACACCAAGTAAGTTAGTCCTTTATACATGCATGCAGGCGAGTTTCTTGCAACATCAATCATTTGTGAAAATCTGTCCTATAAGCCACTTGTGAGGCTGAGGTACCCACCTCAGAGCTCGGTGTCAACAGAGTTTGCCAGGGTAGGCGACTCACTTGGAGGCAGTCCACACAAATTTTCACAAGATTCTGTGACATTATCACTCCCAGGTCCTTCACATTACACATATGTTACGGTGTGTCTAACTTGTTTTAGGTTCACCTAGGTTGCTACAAATATGTTGCTACGTATAATATTCTATATAACTGTGTACCTAAATACGGCCACCTGATACTGGAGTTCCGCAGGGAAGTGTCCTTGGACCTTTGCTCTTCCTCATTTACATCAATGATCTTCCAAACATATCCCACCACCTGAAACCCATTCTGTTTGCTGACGACACGACTTATGTCATCTCCCACCCTAATCTTGCCACCCTCAACACCATTGTTAACGAGGAGCTGCTTAAAATATCGACTTGGATGACAGCCAATAAACTTACACTTAACACTGGCAAAACCTTCTATATTATGTTTGGTAGCAGAGCAGGTGTTGCACAACTTAACATTAAGATCGACAACACTCTTATTGCCAGACATAATGAGGGCAAATTCCTTGGCCTATACCTCGACAAGAACCTAAATTTCAGCACCCATATCCAACACATAACAAAAAAAGTATCCAAAACGGTGGGAATCCTCTCCATGATATGATACTACATGCCGCAAACTGCCCTTCTCACACTATACCATTCACTTATATATCCATACCTCACCTATGCTATCTGTGCTTGGGGTTCAACTGCAGCAACGCCCCCCGCCCCCACTCTTCAGAGATCTAAACTTACTCCCTGTTCAGAACATCTACACTTACTACTGTGCAATCTATATCTACAGGACCTTAAATTCCAATATTAACCTTGACCTAAAACGTTTTCTTGATGGTTGTGACAGGATCCACAGGCATAACACCAGACATAAACATCTCTATGACATTCCCCGTGTTCGACTAAACCTTTACAAAAATTCAATGTATTTGAAAGGACCTAAAATCTGGAACACCCTACCTGAAAACTCTAGAACTGCAGACACATTCATCACTTTCAAAACTACAGTTAGAAAACATCTTATCTCCCTGATCCACCACGACAACTAACTACATGATAACTCACTCACCCACTGACTATAAACCCAGAAATACTAATCTTATTCTTAAAATAATAAATCCTAACTAGTCATAAGTTTGCCTTTGATACTCCAATATAGACACTTTGTATTGTGCCAAAACAAAAGCATTCACATTGCTAAACTCACAAATTATGATGTAGTCACTTAGCCTTAATACCATAATCTGTAAGGATTTAATGTTAAGAATTAATCTAAGTTTGCCCGAAATGCCTAGCCATGCTAGGTGTCCTAGTGAGCCCCTCTGTAATTAGTATTTTATAACATGTAAACCACACAATACCCAAAACCTGTAAACCCCACATTGTAACCCTTATAGAGAAAAAACTTGAATTGAATTGAATTGAATAAATAAACTTAATTAATTTGGAAAATAAATGTCTATTGCATTGTAACATTAAGTCGACTTTATATATACAAAGCATTAATTAAGAACAAAAATTGTTTGTAAAGAAAAACTCCAAATTAACAATTTCTTTATAACAACAAATAAAAATCTATAAGAAAACGTTATAAAGTTGTACAAGTGTTAAATGTTTATAATATTAAGTCGACGTTTAGTGGTTGTTGACACATTGTGTCTTGAAGTGACGGTCAGTATTGTTGTCTCTCTTGTTATAGTCTTTATTTATTTATTTATTTATTTATTTTATGTCTTTGCAAACAGTACGTTGAGATTTTGTATTTACAATAGTGGGTTGCAGTGCAAAGAGCCTCTATTATGCCTGGGCATTATGAGCCAACGTAACATTATTGGCTTA